TATGGGTATAATGAATACACAGTGCTAAACCACACCAGAAAAAATGTACCATATAGTTATATTATTCCTTTGTTTGCCTAGTTGTGCTTTGAAAGCTTACAAACAAATAAAGCCAAGAGTGGGTGTATCAATATGAAGTGAGTGAGCCTTGGTAGTTTGAATCTTCTCCACTTCTCCCAGGATCTTTTTCATCCTTCCTTTTTCTCAACTCTCCTCCTTCTGCTGCGTCTCTTACAAATTTTCTCATACGCCTTTTATTTTTCCCTCTCTAACTAGCACTTTAAGTTTGCCGAAATGAAAAATTGCTGACTATTATTTTCAGTTGAGTTTTATAGCTTCTTTCTTTCTTCCCATTTCAATTTTTTACCCAGTTTGCTGTAATGTCTCTCTATAAAAGAAATCACTTGTCACTTCCACTTCTTCTCCTTTACCATGAGGGTAAGTGACATTCTATTTTTCTTCTTTCATTTTAACTACATTTAAAATGCTGTCACCTGTAGTGCAAGACAAAATTCCCTGATAACAACTGATACTACTGAAAATCCTGATCTGGCATCTTGGCTACAGTTACTTTCCCGCCACTGTCATATGGCTTCCGATGACCTTAGAGTGAAGGAGACTGAGAAAATGGCACTGAGGAGAAAAGGCAATAAAAGGAACAAAATTCATCGAGACAGTTGATGATGATTGATGTTGCATTTAAATTTTTTTATCATTTCATCCCAAGCAAGGCAATAAAGCCACTAAGATGCAAGGTGGGTTACTGAATGTGAGAGAATATGAGAAAAAGAAAACATTGTTAAATAGAGAGAACAATAAAAGAAAAGGAACTTAAAAGACAGAAGATAAAGATTGACTTTGCATTTTTAACAGGAAAGCAAAAAGTGAGTTCTACAAACAAGAAGTACAATAGAAGAAACAGTTACATTTAGGTATTTCAACAGTAAAATGATGGGACCTAGTTGCCAATCTAGTACTGCACTTAAATTTATGAGGTCAAAGTATCAAAGATGACAGCTTATTAGAACAATTGCCATGAAAATGTTTATAGAAAAGATGCAGGCAAGCTACATTATGGTGATAGGAAAGTAACTGAAACCAAGATGCCAGGTCAAGACTAATACCATTGTAGATAATTCTTTGGATTTTTTTAAGAATTTCAAGATTATATAGCAAAAGCACCAGACCTGATGTGAAAGAAATATTTAATACATGGACAAATGGTAGATTTATAAATATGCAAGATGAATTCTACTGAGAAAAATTGTCTGGCATGACACAATGAACCAAGTTTCCTAGCAGCAGCAGCAGCATTCCGTCATTACTGAGCAGACACTAAATTTTCCCCAGTCCTGATGAACAGTTTGCACTCCCAGGGAAACTTTCAGCCTTGACTTTCAAGTGTAATTTTGTACATTGCTAAAGATGCTGGAAAAATGGTTGATTCCTTGTACCACTTCCTAACTTTTTTTTTTTTTTTTTCAAGTGTTTCACCCCAAGCAAGGCAGAAAGCCACTAGGACGCAAGGGGTTACAGAAAATTTGGAGCAAGATCAGATAGGAGTGATAGAAGAAAGGATGAGGAGAAGAGTAGTAGATAGATCAAGGCAACTGGAGATACAGAGGCCAGTGAGAGAGAGAGAGAACCGGAAACCCCTTCCTAAACAAGAAACAAGGCGTAAGCCTCTACTCATGTCCAAGAGAAGTGGGAGGAGTGTGGACCGGGCGGTAGGAAAGCCTACCTACTCCTATTACATATAACACATACAACAACAACAAAAACAGAGGGAACGATGAGAGGGGGAGGTAATTTGCAAAGAGTCCTGGCTGACACTTGCATTTACCCTTTTGCAACATTAAGTTTTAAGTTTTAACTTAGTATAAGTCCCATTGTCTATTCTAAAAAGAAATCGAAGAAAATAGGGTTATCCGGATTTATTGCCATGTTATAATAAATGCCCCCAACATACGAGCAGCGAGTGTTTGTCTGCTTTCTTCCTCATGATAACAAGTGAATGTACAGCTTACCTTAAGTCCAAGCATCGACCTGGTGGGGGGAGGGATCAACGGCCAATCCACCACCATCACCAAATAGTGGGCTTGGGAGGCATGCTTTCAATAAAAATTAAGAACAACAGGAGAAAGAAAGTTCAGAAATTTTATCAAGCAACAATAGTCGGCCACTAAATCATGAGAATACTGACGAGACACTTTCTCATCTAGCCAAAGACATTCAATTTTCCCCTTTTTCTGATTTTTCTTTCGAAACGAAACCATTAGATAGGTTAGAATGATTAGGACAAAATGTGTAATTATGTGCAAACACACTGACAAGTAGGGGAAGAAAAAAAATACAATATAATAAAATTTAAACATTAAAAAAAAAAGATAAAGAATTAAAGAAAATTCTTTATTTTTGTATTTTTTTTTAATGTTTAAATTTTATTTTATTGTATTTTTTTTTTTTTTGGCATCTTTGATATTCAGCCACTAAATCCTCCCTTTCCAGAATTCCTAAGCATCTACATGGCTTTGTGGTTTATGAATCCCCCCAAAACCTGTTGTCCATGTTCTCACAGACAAAATGTTGATAGACTCTCACTATTGAGAA